CATAAGGAGGTGACGCATTTTGGTGATCTTGGACCTATTTTTGGTGTTAGAAAGGCTTAGGACCAAGTGGAGGGCAAAGGTTGCATGGTCTTATCATGCACCTAGAAATAGCCAATCTAAACCCATAGATTCCATCCTTGGCCACCAAGTAGCATCTAGGGTTCATTTGGCATTTCATTTGGAGTGCATTTGCCTTGTGAATTTCGGCCATGCACACTCCAAATGCAACCCTAGATGCCTCCCCTCCCAATCTAAACCCATAGATTCCATCCTTGGCCACCAAGTAGCATCTAGGGTTCATTTGGCATTTCATTTGGAGTGCATTAGCCTTGTGAATTTCGGCCATGCACACTCCAAATGCAACCCTAGATGCCTCCCCTCCTATAAATACCCAACACCCCACACCTTGTAAATACTTTGGAATATATGAATTTGAGTGAGCCTTTTTGTGCCTCAAATCCTCTCCTTAGTCACTAGGTTACCTTTGGCTAACCTTCTCCTATCTCCACCATTGGAGAGTGAGAACCCTAGAGTGGCCTCCATTTACCATTGGAGTGAGCCAACCTTGTGAGCACCAAACACCATACCTTAAACACTTCCGCCACCCTACTCCCTTTCTCGCCTATCTCCCTTATTGTCCCATAAACTTCCTTTTGTCTACCCCTTGGTAAACCTAGATCAAGGGCAAGGAGTCTCCTTTCAACCATTGTCATCACCCATGGAAGGAACTACTCCATCACCCTCTTTAACAAGCTACAAATAAAAGAACACACTATCACAAGATAAACATTGGAGCATCTACTTGCAGATCGAAGATCAGGTGTACAGTTCGTCAACCTTTACCCAATAGAGTATGCAACCAACACTCAACTACTCTAAAGGGTGAGGACACGAGCAAATACATCTATCAAAGAGAAGAAGCGCAGAAGTGCCAACACCAAAGAGACGAGGAGGAGACCCGGACGAAATGTCTACGTCTTTACTTGCCTTTGGAAAAGCAACACATAGCTACTCCAAAGGACAAGTAAAGAGGGGCAGCTGTAGACACCCAATTTCGTCCGGGAGCACAAAAACAAGGAAATGGACCTTCGTTATGAAGGGAAGGAGCTTTCGAAGCGGGCAAAGAACAAGACAGGACATCAGAAGGCTTAAAGGCAGAATAAGGTGATTTTAATAGCCTAGAACGGGCTGTTCCAAAATCAAAACGAGCCGTTCTGAACACCGGAACGGGCCGTTCCGATATCAGAATGGGCCGTTCCAATGTGACAAAAATGCCTAAAGGGTCTACGCTGGAACGGGTCGTTCCAGTACCAGAACGGGCCATTCCAAAGAATGTTAAATTTGGAATGGGGCATTCCAGAAAGGGGATTTTTGTGCTTATTTCCACTCTGGAACGGGCCGTTCCATTTTCAGAACGGGTCGTTCCAGGGAGCATAATTTGCACATAAAAGGTTGGCCCAGAATGGGCCGTTCCAAATCCGGAACAGGCCATTCTGGTCCCTTTTTTTTCCTATAAATAGAAGCCTCGGGCACAATTCTCCGGGCGGCCAGAGAAATTTTGATTAAGACTCCTTTGAGCATGAAAATTCTCTATCTCTCTCCCTTTTATTATATTTTTTGAGATTGGTGTCACATCTCTATATTCTCTCTCCCTCCTATTGTATTTCTTGAGATTTGTGAGGCATACTGTAGTGTGAAAGGTCGCCACAAAGCACCTTCTCCATATTTGAAGATTCAATAAAGCTTGTTCAAGAGGTATTTCAGTCAATCTTCTTCTCTTCCTTTTATTTCTTATCTTTATCTCTTTTTTATAATAAACGTCATAATGTAGATATTTTATGGTTAATTGCTTAATTTATATTTTAAATATGTAAATAAGTATTAATAAAGGGGATTCAATATTTAATTTATTAATTCTTATCATATTAACTTCATCATAGGGTACCGATTGAGGGCGTTGTAGGGGTGCTTAATACCTTCCCTAAACGTAACCGATCTCCGAATCCAATTCTAGTTATCAAGGCCATTGTTGGATCTTTAAAAACCTTTTCTTTTTCCAATGTTTTGAGTAAAATATTGGTGGCGACTCCATGAACCTATTTTCAAAACCATTAATTAAGGATTAGTCTAGTGTCCAGACATTCCTTAATTAATGAGACTTTTAAAGGGATGTCTAAACCATTAGTCGCGAGATCGGAAATTTTCGGGTTGACACAGGGACATGCATACCATATACATTCCTAGGATCACTAGGAGATTTCTCACAAAGACTAATGAACTCCAATTAGTGTGACCGTTGTCACATCGTAAAAATTTACGAAAAGGGACACTATGATTTCATGTTCAAAGGAGTGGTTACAAAGTCTTTATTGAGAGACCTCCTTCATGCATCATCATTTAAATAAGCTTAATAGGAAATTATCTTATCCCTCAAATGTGGCTTTTCAACACTCCATACTCATGAACTCTTAGGGTGGAAGAGTCATGGAAGCTTTACAAGAAAGAATTCGTGTACTTTTTAAGGAGTTCATACAGCTTAAACAACAAATGGCTAAGATGTTTGAGACCATGACCAACACGACATTGATGACATTAGAGGCTATCTAGGTGCCCTAGAGGAAAGATTGAGAACCATTGAGGACCGCAAATTTGGCGGTAAAAATACGATCGAGACCCACCTAATACAAGACATCCCATTCGGATATGAAACCATAGAGCCCCCACCATTGGACAATGGTCTGTCAAAAGGGCTTTATGAAAAGAAGAGGGAAGAAGGGGTCCACGCTGTCATCTTTGCTCCAAAGAGTCGAGCTGCATCACAGCCAAAGCCTAGAGATGACAAGGTAGTAGACAAAGTCCACATCACATATGCAGAGCTACCACCCCAACTCTTGGAGACCTCGATGTTAGTACGACTTCCTCCTACAAAGAAGATGAACCCTCCTTACCCATCGTGGTAGAAGCCTGAGGAAAGGTGTGACTATCATTATGACTCCCCGGTGCACTCCGTGGAGCGATGCAAGGCCCTACGATTTCGTGTGCAAGGACTTAGAGACACCGGTTGGTTGAAATTTGACACCAACACACACAACATCAACAAATACCCGTTGCACAAGCACGATAAGAAGTGACCTTGGAATGCAATGTTGAAAGGCCATTGGGGAAGGGGCTCCATTAAGTTTTGTTTTCTTTTTTGCCCATCACTTTCGCCTAGGGTTGTGGGATCTCACAATAAGGTCTTGTGTTTTTTTTACATTCATCAATAATACACATCGTTTCCATAAATCTCTTGTGTTTATTCTTTTCCCCCTCTTCCCACATATTAAATTCTAAAATCAATCACAATAAAAAACAAACATGACCGAAGATAATAAAATTAATCAAAGCTTTGAACATCTACAACGCATTATCTGACTTTAAGGTAGATAAGAAAATCACCTCCTTGAAACACACAAAATAAGAAAGTGATCAGAGGAGTCTTACACAAGATTCTCATTGCATAAGAAGAGTCTTGCAAAAAAAAATAATAACTTTCGCTCAATTTGGCTGACAAAGGAAGCACAAATCTCGGCTCATGAAAGAACTCTCTCAACACCCGTAGGTTGGGGCAACATCTTTCTCCTTGGTGTACGGGAATGGGGGGCTTTGTTAATCATCAAAGACGATGGTCCTCCCAAACACGGATGGCAGGATATTTTGTCAAACCAAAGAAGTGTTATGCCAAAAATAATATCACTTGCAAAATACTACTAGGATGAAAACCCGGAAAGGGCAGCTTAGGCAAAAAAAAAAACAAAACAAAACAAAAATCGAAAGTTCCCGCTAGGACACGTCCTAGGCCAAAATTAGAGATCTAAAAAGGATAAAAATAGCAAGTGATGATTTTCATAGTTGAAAGCTAAAAGGCTGCTTGAACACTTCTACAAGGGGTCTAATTCTGCGAAGACTCTGCCTAAGACTCAGATATGTAGTTCAAGATAATTACGAGAATGATTATAATAATTATCCAAGGAAATGTTTGTTTAAAAAAACTTAAACACTCACCTTGATGAGGTTATTCTTGAAGAAAACCTCAAGGAATGCTCTTCAACTCTTCTCGGATCCTTGGAAGGATGGCAAGGATTGGAAGCTCCAAGAAGAACAAGTGTAGCCAAGTATAACCTAGCTATTCTCGGATAGAAAGTGATGAAGCCTAACTCTACAAGGAGAGGATCTCAAGTAGGGTAGAGTTTAGGCTAAGGGAGACTTTCGGAGGAGAGATTTCAAAAGTAGAATTCTCGTTCAATTAATTCCAAAAGTGCTACAATATTCGGCCAAGCATGAATTTATAGGTAAAATTAGGTTAAGGGTTCATGTTGGGTTAACCTAAGGTTAAGTAAAACCATGGTATGGTTTACTTAACCTTAGGTGCCAAAATTTGAATTCAAATATTCAAATTTTGGTGCCAACCGGTCACCTCCCCCATGTGCACTCATTTGGATGTAATTTGGTATCCATTTGAGTTGCATTTCGGTCACACCATGTACATGTGTGCACATGGCCGAAATGCATATCAAATGTCATACTAATTACATGCAAATGAATATGCACATGCAAACCTAAATTAACCCTAAATTCATATGACCATGAAATGAAAATCCTAGTCTAAGTGGCCGAAGCACAAGGCCCAAAATGCAATACAAGCCCAAAGGCCTAAACCTATACTACAAAACATAAGAACAAAATGAACATTCAAGATAGGCCAATGATAAGCTCAACTTGGACCTTCCAAGCCCATCGGGCCTATTGGGCCTTGATTGGCCCAAGCCTTCATGTCTAGCCCACTCCTCTTGGCTCTTTTAGGATGTCCCCTGATGGAATGATGAGGACATGGGCAAGGATTTAGGAGCACTCA